AGGGCAGACACAGTACCGTCCATACACAGCACAGGGCAGACACAGTACAGTCCATACAGCACAGGGCAGACACAGTACGATCCATACACAGCACAGGGAATATACAGTACAGTCCATACACAGCACAGAGCAGACACAGTACAATCCATACACAGCACAGAGCAGACGCAGTACAATCCATACACAGCACAGAGCAGATACAGTACAGTCCATATAGCACAGGGCAGACACAATACAGTCCATACACAGCACAGGGCTGATACAGTATAGTTCATACATAACACAAGACAGACTCAATACAGCACAGACCAGAAACATTATAATCCATATCTTGAAAAGAAGAGGCGCAGCACATAATTATTACTTCACAGCCAAATAATTTGTACTGAAGTGTTTCTGTTATTCCGAGACTTGTTTCCAATGAGACCACTGAACTTTCACACCCTTCCACGCGCCAATATGACAGACCATTTAAATAAAACCTTAAACAGAAACTTACCACGGTAAGAATCTAAGATTCTTACTTCAAAAGCCCAGTAACGCGTCAAACCTCAGCAAAAAGAGGAAGCGAAAGAGAAACCCGTGATTTTTCTCTTCTCATCTCGGCCCGAGTCCGAACTGTTCGCTGCGGCCGCGGACCTCGCGACCGCGCCCTCGTGCTGCTGGCGCTCTGCGGGCGCGGGGCTCGCGCTCGCGCTGGTGGCCCCTGTTCGCCTTCCCGCCCTCACGAGACACCCCGACGACTTGCGCCAAAGCCGGCTAAAGAGACAGAGACGAGAAACCGGAGGCTGTTAGGATTCTGTCGTATGTTTGCGTAGCTACAAGACTGCATACGTGCTGCCCCGTCTGGTACAGGCTTTATCCTCCAGAGTCCTTCACTGTGTCCACTAACTCGGTTGTTTTGAGGGGTGTTGCTGGCCAGTGCCGCAGTCCCAGCTGTATTGGGACGGAGTGGCATGACGGTTTGGTCGGAAAATTCTGAACTTGTAATAAAAATGGGCGGCTGTTTTGCGACAGCAGCGAAACCTTGTTCCCCGCCGGATCTCAGAGGCTCGGCAAGACCGGGCCGGGGCAGTACCGAGATGCGAGACCTCTGAGGCTTGTAGCTGCAAGTGGTGGTGAGCCTGTAGGTGACGCTCTTCACTCTGGTCCAGAATTTCTGTGCTGTAGGAGGCGCTGTCCTTCAGATGACACATTAACCTGGGGTCCTGACTCCCTGCTCTCTGAAGATCCCAGGACCCTGCTTGTAAGAGTGGGGGTGTCACCCCTGTGTCCTGGATAAACCCCACTCTGTTCCTGCACAGTCTGTCCTCCCTTCACCCCCTGGAGCAGCAGTGTCTCTCTCCTGCCCTGAGCTGCTGTGCAGTGGGGCTGCAGTGTGTCTCCCAGGAGGGGCTGCTCTTCACTGGGGAGGAACTGGGTCCCCTCCTGTGTGAGAAGGGCTGGGAGACCGTTGGGATGAAACAGGCTTTGTAAATTTTAAGTAATTATTATAATCAATAATGACAGCAACAATATAATATTAACAACACGAGGCTAATACAGCAGCTCGGTACGAAGTTTGAGCAGAATGAGTGAGACGGACGTTCTTGGCTCCCTGGCAGGTTTGTTATCGCGACGTTAGAACGTTCCCGGGATGTTTTCCACTTCCTAGTCTCGGAAAGACGAATAGTCATTATTCGATACATAAAAATCGAAAAGTGAACATACCAGACATTCAAATCGCAAGAACAAGAGAATTGGAAGTCATCGCTTTGATCTTTAACGCCTCCCAGCGTATAAAAATGAGTGTTATATTGTAACGTGCGACCTAAGAACTGACTTGCGATTTTTAGTCGTGATGACAGATTGTCAGTTCCCTTGGAAGAAGAATAAATGAATTAACCAGAATAAAGGCAGGTTAAATGAAAGGATTGTTTGTTTGGTGTGTTGGGAGGAGGTGGGGGTGGTGGGGGTGTGGGTAACAGATGACCACGCGCCTAGACTTGGGTATTGTTCCAGCACCGCGAGGAGACCCGCGCGCCTGCCTGCTGCTGCCTCCCTGTCGTCCACCAAGAGCTCGCGGGAGCGTCTCTCTCGTGCTGTCGCTACCTTTGTTCACCCGCGCGATCGATCCATCCCTCAGCCGTCCCTCCGTCCGGCTCATCTGTTTCCTCGTGACCCCCGGTAACTGTCCGGAGTGACTGATTGCTGCGGAGACAGTGGAGGGGGACGGGTGCACCGGGGGGTCATTATTTGTGTGTGTTGCCTTGTTCAGGAAAAAAGGTTTCTCACACGTGGATTTTACCATTTGAATATAGAATTTGTTCATTATTTTAATCCCCTGTTTACGGAATTCATCATTTGCACACAAAATCATTTCGGGGGAAACCCGTTTACTTGTTTACCAGTCTTTTTGAAGCGACGAATTAATTGCCAAGAGCTTTTTTTTTTTCCATCTCAGCAACTTTAACAACAACCGCCTGTGGTTCTGATGTCTCTCCTCCCTCTCCCTCCCCCCTCGCTCCCTCTCTCTCTCCTGTGGAAGAGTCGTCCCGTCCTACGCAGATTTGTTCTCGCTCTCTACTTCTTTCCTGAAGCCCTCGACTTACCACAAGTGTGAGCGCACGCCTGCTCCGACACACACGTCGCTGCGCTGCCAGCCCGACCCGCTGTCTTACATGTCGCGCCGGGACAGACGCCTGGGACATGGGAATACCACACGGGCTCTCCTGGGGACGCGTCCTGATCCTCGCGGGGCTGCTGCGGTCACCTGCCTGCACGTAAGTGTGTGCCAGACGCGCGCTCCGCAGCGACCCGCGAGACAGGCTGAGGCGCAGGAGGACGAGCAGTGAGGGAGGGCGGGAGAAGACGGGTGCCGTTTCGTGTCGCTCTGATCTTTGCCCCGCGGTGGGTGTGAGGAACGCGGCTACTCCCCCGCACGCGCGGAGAAGGGACCAGTGGCCGCGGACGTTCGTGTTCACTCCTGCACCCCTCCACACGCGCGCACAGTCGTGTTCGTACATGCGCACGTATGTGCACGTCCACACGGCCACACACTAACGCGTTCACACATGTGCACACGCCATCAAGCGCTAACGCTCGCCGCACACGCATGGGCGCGCATGGACGCTCGCTGGCTAGTTTACACGCGCGTGTAAAACTACACAGTCTGCGATACAGCTGGCGTGCGCTTTGGAACGACTGCGTGCTTCGTAACTCACAAAATGACCACAGGGAAAACAGCAAATTAACTGTAATGGGAATATACCACGACTAATTAAACAGTAATGACAAGGAAATGTAATTAGCGTCATCACAGAGCTTACAGATCAACTCGCTAACCAACAAATAATGAATCGATAACACCTGTTGTGATACTGCAGCCCACGAGACAATCTGACACTGTGCTCGCGCTCCGCCTCAGGAAGACCAGCCCTGCAGGGGGGAATGAGGGCCGGTTCTTAAGGGGGCAGGACAGAGTGCCCGGTTCTGAAGGTGGGGGGGCTGGCTGACAGCCCGGTTCTGAAGGGGGTAACTGAGGGCCCAGTTCTGAAGGGGGTGACTGAGTAAGCAGTTCTGAAGGGGGGTGAACTGAGGACCCGGTTCTGAAGGGGGAGGACTGAGAGCCGGTTCTGAAAGGGAGTGACTGAGAGCCCAGTTCTGAAGGGGGTGACTGAGGGCCCGGTTCTGAAGGGGGTGACTGAGTCAGCGGTTCTGAAGGGGGTGACTGAGAGCCCAGTTCTGAAGGGGGGGGGGGGTGAGTGCCCGGTTCTGAAGGGGAGGGAGGGTCCTGATTGAGCAATCGGGACATCACAGCTGAACCAAGCAGGAGTCCGTCTGAGAATCTGTCAGCCCTGTCCGTCTGGGTGAAGAAAGCGTCTAAAAGCGATCAGATTGAGCGCAGATGTTACTCCCGATTACGCCGAACGGACGGAACACAACGATAAACTGTATGCGGATTTTTTAAAAGGTCATTTCGCAGCGATGCCAGAAGCAATTTCCGCTAGATTGAGCGGTTCCGATTAGCGCCATGGATCAACGGAGAAACGCCGAGCGCGGACTGCGGCTCTGGGATCTGCCCGAACCGGGTTCGACCCCCTGACCCAGTCCCTCTGTGACCAACCTCCTCTTCTTATATTCGCATCGGCCCCCAGGTTCGGTTCCTGAAGGACCGAGTCCAGATTCGCTCCTGGGCTGTCTGGTGGTGATGGGGGGGAGTTCTGGCGTTCACAAGTTCAAACATTTCTCCACAGCCTTTGGATTAGAGAGGCGCGGGCTGGTGTCAAGCGCAGCCCCGGCAGGAAGAGACGGTTTCGACTTTGGGAACGAGTTACTGTGTGGCTGTCAATCGGCGTCTGCGCAAAATGGTGTTGCTTTACTCCAGATGCGTTATTCAACATAATCCTCGCCTCCCCCACCACACTGAATCATAGCTTGGGAAGGCAGAATTTCCCCCAGCAGTAGGCTCTATGGGAGAAACGCTGGTCAGTCGTGCGGTCAGCCGTGTGGACCCAGCGCCGGGTCCGGTCACGGGGGTGGGAGGGAGGGAGCTTCAGTCGATCCTGCCGTCCTGGATATGGAACCACGCCGGCACGTGAAATCTGACGCGAACAACAGAGCAGAACAAAGGGAAAAGACTGACGCGAGGATTCCCGCAGGACACGAGCCAGCACGGGGCTCGCACACGGCCAGGCTGACACTCGATAGAGAGGGTGCTGACACCCGCGGAAGGCTCCACAGCCGGAACGTTGTGTTTCCTTTCTTCTCTTTTCAGCCTGGAATAAACCTATTACTTCTTCCTTTGCATTCAATAAAGATGTCACCTGGACCTCGCTTATAGGATACAAAAGATGGCATTAACAGAAACATAGACCGAAATCCCAGATAGTCACGGGCATATGAATAAGTTGTATGTCAGGAACTGTTTCATTTTAAAGTGGCATAACCTATAAAGGAATTTGTAAGGCAAAGACGATGTTTCGTTTACAATACAGGGGGTGTTCAGTTTTGATCCATGATTCTGCGAATAAGGAGTGAAATGAACAGGTAACACCTGTACCTGCATTAGAGCTGTTTTGCAAATCCAGACATTTCACCTAAGTACCGCACAGGAACATACCGAGAGCCCCAAGGCTCTGCCAGGACGAAGAGAACATGCTGAGGGCTCTCGTGTCATTATTGGCCACTGGGACGCCGACGCCAGACTCTTCAGAAACCGCCCTGGCAGCCTGAAGCGACTGCAGAGCGAGCGAGCGAGCGAGGATTCCCTGCTTCCCCGGGGCGGGGGCGCGCGCGCGCGTGCACATCCCGCGCCGGCCGGAGCTGCGCGCGCGCGCGCGCCCCGCGCGGTGTTAGTATTCCGCCGGGGTCCGCGCGCAGGCGGCGGGGCTCATTCCTGCGCGGCTCGCGCCCAGACAGCTGGCGCTGAGCGGCGGTCGGTAATGTCTCACAGCCCGGCCGTCCTGACTAGTGGCCTCAGTCCGACGTCGCGTTGCAGGAATAACATCCCCAGTAGTTGGTGGGGAGGACAAAGTGGGCAAGTTCCCACCGTTCTGAGCCCCAGGCCTGGGGGCAACTTGGACTGGCAACTGTTTTCATTTCATAACGGGGTTTCTGGCGCATCTGGGGCCGAAATGAAGGCCATTGCAACCGAGTCCCGGCACAACGCGCTACCAGGATCATCGTTTTTGTAACACAAGTAGCCGACTAAAACGTCTTTACAGTCATAAAACCTTGTTTAAAAGTAAATGAAGGCAAAAACCCTACCCAAAAGCGAAGAGTGACGCCATCATTCCCTTCCGACGAGGTGCGGTGTGGAGCACGGACAGACCCGTCACTCACGCTCCCGGGAGGTATCTATTATTTACACGCAGCTTGCAAAGAGCGGGCCGACCTTCTAGATCCCGTCTCCGGGGCCTGGCGGGGGCATTGAAGTGCCTGCCAAGCCTCAATGTGATTTGCAATTCAGTAACCAAAGCTGGAGATCTAACCCTCCGCGCTGCGACCTCGATCTCACTGTCGCCGCCGGTACTGTACAGTTTACAGGCTGCACAAGATAACAGCGGTGATTCATTCACCACCGCGGCAATTCTTAATGCGATTCACAGGGGTTATTGATGATACAGATAGGAATAATCGCCCATTTTCTGTTCCCAGACTATATTGTTTTTGGAGATTGGTACTGATATTGATACATTGATACATTGTAAATACATGCTATCGATACATCATGAAGAGAGCACGCACTAGGGGCCACAGGTGGAAACCGCGGGAAAGTGCATTTAAAACCGAGGACAGGAGGCAGCACTTTACACAAAGACTGGTGTGGGGGGTGGAACAAAGCCACCCACTCATTTAGCTGAAACCAATTCCCCGGCGTCTTTCAAGAAACAGTTGGCTGCTCAGATCAATTAGCCAATAACTACCAATCGGGCCTCCTTTCGCAGCCCTTCTCGTGCTCTGGTCTTCCAATACGGACCCGTTCGCGCGCGTGTCCTGTCGTCGAGGATGAGGATGAAGCTCGCGCTCGCTGCTCGCAGGAGTCTGGGGCCTCGAGCGCTGCCGACACCATACCAGACAGAAAGCCCATGCTCACCTAGTTTGGAGACAAAGGAACAAGTTCAGGTTTATTCCCCGCTGAAAAGAGAAGAACAGAAACACAACGTTTTGGCTGTGGAGCCTGTTCGGGTGTGATCAAGTCTGAAACGTTGTGTCTCTTCTTGTCTTTTACTTTCAGCATGGAATATACCTTTATCTGTTCCTTTGCAGCCTACGCATGCTGACGCAGCTCCCTGTACAGTATAATCCGTGCGTATACAGCAAATATTCTCGAGCAAAGCGTGAGTCTCCAGGTGACCCGGCCGGGCTCAGGCTGCGAGGAGCGAGTCGCCGTGAGCACTGTGGAAGCCTGTAGCCGGCAGCTCGGCGGCGGTGTGGATTTGGCTGGGTGTCAGGGCTCCTGTATGTGGTGTGTCTGGCGTGATGACGGCAGATAAGTTTATACAGAGCGCGTGGGGCGAGCTGCACAGACCTGCCTCGCAATCAGCTGCCAAAGCATTGTAGCTAATCAAAGAAACAACGTCGAATGCACGTCCTCGCAGGCAGGAGACGCTACACTGCAGCGGTCTAGCTGTGTCAGGTGGCGATGAGGTGCGAGCTGCTATTATCCGATCTGTACACGGCGAAGCACTGCGTCGCCCGTAGCAGGTGAGCGAGTGTCGTCAGAATCCAGTGCGAGAACACGCTGGGATAATAATTCAGACCAAACCTACAAGGAAACTGTTCAGAAAGTTGAATTCTCCAGATGAGTCTTTCAAACATGCTGGACACGTTCGGTCTGTGCACATCACGTCTGTATAACTCCCCGTGAAACGCCCTTCACAATTTCAAGACGCTGTACAGAGTGAAAATGATAATGAGCTGACTGTGCTTGGATGTGCAGTTCTGACCCGGACGCGCGGTACTAACTCGTGCAGTCCGAGAAATCGCTCGAGCCACTGAGTGACGCATTGCGCGCCTCTTCTCCCCAGGGTGCTAGGCAACGACATCCTGGGCCTGAAGGTTCCGCGCGACCCGGTCCTGACCCCCAACACGGTGTGCCTGGCGCTGCCGGGCCTCAGCAAGCGGCAGATGAGCCTCTGCGTGCGCAGCCCTGACGTCACCGCCTCCGCGCTGCAGGGCATCCGGATCGCGCTGCACGAGTGCCGGCACCAGCTGCGCGACCAGCGCTGGAACTGCTCCTCCCTGGAGAGCCAGGGCAAGCTGCCCCACCAGAGCGCCATCCTCCGGCGGGGTGAGCAGCGCCGCCTTCTCCGCCTGGGCGTGGTGGGGGTGGAGAGGGGCTGGAGATGTGCACCTGCTGTGGGGTACATTCAGGAGGGAAAGAGGGGCAATGGGAAGGCTTGCTGCGGGGTGAGTCATGGGGGTATTAAAAAGGGTTTGGGGTAATAGAAGGGCTTCTGGCCTAGTGATGAGGAGGAGGCAGTGAGGCAATCAGGGGGAAGGGCAGGGAACGTGATGATGAAAGCATCCATTCATCCATTCATCCTTTCATCCTTCCATTCCTCCATGCATACATTCATCCATTCATCCTTTCATCCTTCCATTCCTTCATCCATCCATTCATCCTTCCATTCCTCCATCCATCCATTCATCCTT